TGACCTAAGAGTAGTTTGAAAAATTGTAAGTGATAATATTCCTCTTAATGTTTATACAGGAACGTAGTCCGAACCAGTGCCAAATTATTCATTGAGATATAAAAGTCGTTTTACTTATCTCCTACTCTCGCTTCAAGAATCAGAAATTCTCAAATGTTCCATAAAGAAAGAAATCTGCAAATGAAACTCGTTAAATTACCGCAAATATTAATCTTCAGCGGAATCAAGCTCTGATGTCATTATGTCGTTGAATCCGAAGGTCAGTGAACAGTTGATGTGTCCACGTCAATACGCCGAGCGCGACCGCAAAAATAATGTTACCTGTATTTTGGAGAATTTGTGGCAGAAAAAAGGCAACTTCGCGTGGTAATCGGTAGTTAGAAATGTAAATTTGATATCACTAGAGCGATGTGCGCACTGACTGTAATGTCGTGTAGTTTTGGGAGTGTGATTAAAAAGTGGATTGCGTGTAAAAAAGTAGGTAAGACGGCGATCACATTAAATCGAAAGTAAATTTTAAGAAGACGGGACCTTAAATTGTCGATAAATATGTTTGTTGAACTCGCACCAAGAAACTAATCAAAAAGGACGAGGCAAGACATTCTGTCCTTCTCCCACATTATTCCTCACTGGATGAACGAGGGACAGGATTGGCTGTGGTGTATTTTTCATTTGTTGTTGTATTGGTATGAGTTATAAAAACATATTCGACCCTGTGGCCACTCACCATACTGTCGCTTGATCAAGCCTAACTGACCGTATGTGGAGAGACATTTTGGAAGGACATGCCTCTTGACGGAAGGATTTTAGCATGATCACAAGACTATTTGATCTAGCCACTTATTAAAGCGGTACAATGGTATGTGACCACCAGAACCTACATAGTTTTAAATATTGTAAATGCCACTACTTACATTGTTTTAAGTTTAAGAGTAAGACAGAGGGCATCTTATGCTTATCCAATTAATTTAATTTTACAGTAAACAATAATAGGTAAAAAAATCAGTTTGAATTCTCGCTCTCCGTCAGTGACTTACAATGACTAGTGTGGACACTGCCTGAAAGTCGTATTATACTTCAGTACATAATGGACGAAATACTCGGTTGGGTTGACAGCGGCAAGTTCTTCAAACCTATCATATTAGACACTTTATTTCTGATACACGGGTTACATTGGTGCTAATAACATTTAAAGCTTAGAACGAACATAGCTCTATACATATATAATGCAGCTTATTTTAGAAGTTCAGACCACAGGGTAGGAACGATAACTACTAGACTCCAACGCAGATTTAGGGCCTCTACTCTTAAAACTGATGCCGTTATTTTCGATCCTGATTCGAGAACTGCTAATATCAGCGAATCAAAATTAATGGTAAAACTCTTGTATGATATATTTACTTTTCATATGTAAATATGTTGTTATTTTTCTCTTTTTTTACAAGATAGACTATATTTAGATAAAAAGCATATTAAATTAGGCCCACAAATGTGTAGGTCCTCACATTTATCTTGCTCAATATACAAGGAACTATTGCATAATAGGGAAGATGCAATATTTTTATTTTTGTTTTCATTTTAAAGAATTCCATGTAGAATAAACCACAGATATATTAAAAAATTAAAACATTGTGATTTATCGGAAAAAAATGCGGTTTTAAATTGACAATTTAAATTTTCGCGCGAAAACGAACCTTTGGTTGCGATGACGTCACTCCTGTCTGTCACTGGTCGTACTTGTTCGTCGCTGGCTTTAAATTTTCATACTTTTGCATATTTTTTCGACTTTCGAAATATTTTTTTGAAAAATTTAAAATGGACTATCCATCAACATTATGTGATCATAACAATACCACTAATATTCCGAAAAAAAGCCGTGTTGACTCAGGTTTTGTGCCAATCTACTTCAACAAAGTTTCCAAATAAATTGTTTTTGACTGGAACTCCTGACCCAAAACTGAAAAAAAGTGGTTTCAAGCTGCGAAGAGAAATGACTAATATTCTCCAAAGACCATTATTCGATGCTGTGAAGATCACTTTGACGTAAGTCGGCGAATATACTTGTTATATGCTTAATTAATCTGCTTGTACGTAAAAACGCATTAGTAACCTACCTAATACTTACAAAACCTGTCTTTATCATATTTTTAATTTTACAGTTGGAGAATGACGTCGAAACTTAGATAAAGTTTAAAATGTGTGGCACAATCTTCACATTGGCAGGACTGAACCAAGCTTTGCGTTTCATTTAAAATAACTGTAACACGATAACCTTCTTTACGTACTTTATGCTCCGGAGAACTCGACCTTTTACTGTACATAATTCTCCATCTCTTTTAATTTGGACATAGCCGATTGCATTATCGCCATAAGATTTGTAGAAGCCGCTGAATAAAATACGAAGTTTAACAACTACGATTTTTACATACCGTAGTAATATAGTCCCTTTCATTTCTACACTTAAAAACTCTGCACTTTGGACAAAAAAAGTTATAACCATGTCAATACTAACTCTTGGTAAATCCCTGGAGTCTGCTTTGATAAACGCAACTTCCATTTTTATTAAATGTAAAAAAACGCAATTAATATTCCCATAAAATAATATTTACTTTAACAACCATAACCTCAAAGAAGTTGTCATAACAGGAGTGACGTCACTAAACGCTGATTGGTGTTTTAAAATATGTTCTGTTTGAAGTATTTTTAATTTGTAATAATTGTTAAAAAACAACATTATGTAAAATAAAAACGTTGCAGTGGCATTTCTTTTATATTTTTTTAACATTTTAAACATTATATTTTCATAAATATTACATATGCATCTTCCCTATTTGCATATACTATTTCAATATTGCCAATAACATAAGTTAAAACAAATTAATTGATATTTGTAAGACTAACAAGATTTACTGCTTAAACTTATTAAATATACATTATATATACAAAAATTAATATCTTTAAATCATTTAGCTCCACGCAAAATTCTTCTAAGTATTAACTTCATCAAATCTTAAGGTTACCTCTGAGGCTTAAACTTTACACTGTTGTCGAAGTAATGCATACTTAATTGATGTTGATAAACAACCGAGCTCCGTGTCTGCATATCTTAACTTTGATATTGTTAATGTTTGAGTAGCAATCTAGACTAAGTTTTAGAACTTGTACTTGCGCGTTGCTTTTTCAGTATTTATTGAGATTGATGTTCGTGTTTGTACTGTACGCATGTTGCATTCTAATTGCGATCAAATTATTTCGAAAGATTAACATACTATATTTAGAATGAACATTTTATATGCTATTAATACAATGTGGTTAAAACTGGTATAGTTTTACGAAACCACGATGCAAGAGAAAATTTCAAATTGTTTTAAATAACCTTAAAAATCTGACTTATAAAAACTGAAAGAAAATCCCTTCTCTGGCTAGGAATCGGGCCGTTCGCGTAGCAGGCGAGATATATATTTAGACATGATATATATTTTGACATGAAAAAATGGCGATATGATAATAATAATAATCTTTAAACAAGACATACAAATAAATTAAAATATAAGTTTCACTTTAAAACGGAAGCGACACGTGGTCGTTAACTGCGAGTCTCATCTGAAGGCTAAAGACACAGTGAGCAATGGAGAGGGCGATATTCCCTACGCGATAGACTCATAAATGAGGAAACCCGTGGGAGAACTAAAGTAACCGATGTTGCTCAAAGGATTGCTCTGCTGAAGTGGCAATAGGTAGGACATGTACCAAGAAGAACCGATGGCCGTTGGCGCGGATAGGTTTTTGAATAGCAATCACGCACTGGACAATGGTCAGTGAGCAGGCTCCCTATACAGTAGGCAGTAGACGGACGATCTTGTGAAGGTCGCGGGAAGCGAGTAGCGCATAAAAGATTGGTGTGGAGATCCTTGGGGGCCTATGCTCAGCAGTGGGCGTCTTACGGCTGATATGATGATGAAAGACAATATTATTTGTAAAAGCAATGACTTGGGTTTATTAAATGAGTCAGAGAAATACTTTGTCATTGTATAAATCAAATAATCTTTCAGAAGTTTATTTTCCAGATTTTCTTTTAAAAAGGTATTCAATGTATTGCATGCTAAATAGAGTTCGCACAGTTTAGATACAAAGCAAACGTTCCTATTTCCCAATAAGAAATAATAATAAATTGTGCTTAGGTACTTCTGATACGAGATTACTCATCGGGGATTGGTCTTGGAAAAAGTCGTTAAGAACTGATAATTGTTATGGTAGCGATACTAGCGCAATTGTGATAATATGATAGTCGAGAAAAAGTAACAGTTATTTGTAAAAATAATTATTGTTAGTTATTGACTTTTTGAAGTAAAAGGAAAAATTAACGTAACGAAAGTTTGACTTACAGAAATTCATTATAAATGAAAACCATGAATTAGCGACTGTCCTGCAAATCCGGTGTGTTTCATAGTTTATGATATCTTAATATGTAATAAAAACAATTATTAGAACCCTGGCCCCCCGGTGGGTACCCTGGGTGGTACTCAATACTTTTTTTTCGATTTTTACGTAAATTTTAGCGGATAACTCCGTGCAGACTTACAGACAGACACGAACCACGTTAAAGATTCCAAAGGTGTATGAAATTGGGCACTTTCATTTTTACTATATTTCAATAAATATTAAAAGAAAGAAAACCTTTTTCTAAGTAAATAAAACCTATTGTTATAATTTGACGATGTGTTGGCATGTTATTTGAAGCATCCTGGCATGATTCTATACATTCCAATTTTAAATTTTCGGACTTCTTCACGAAATACAGACACGAACCATGTCATAGATTTGAAAGGTGTATGATAGTAAATTAAAAAACACAATAATGTAATAATACCGTGATATATTGTATTTAACGGTGAGTACCATGTTAGATTTGCCAATGAACTATTATGACTGGTCAGATTTTCGATTAGATCTTGTGATTGCGAACTGTTGAAAATAATATTATTTATTTCATTTCTTACCTCGAATTTGCTCGTGATTGGGTTCATATCGAGAAGCGAATACGAAGCCACGCGGTCGCCATTGTCGTCGATCACAACTTCGCCTGTTATTCCTGTCCGAACAAAAAAACAAGCTTAGATAAAGTAAGATAAGTTAGCGCAAGGTAGCAAACATAAAATGAAAAAATATTATATTCAAAATATAAATAGAACCGACTTAAAAAATGGTAAATAAGATTTAGCGACTGATATATTTGAAATCGATACCAGTATTATGATTTCCTAAATACGTGGCTTGGTTGGTTTGTTTTGGTGCTGGCTGCCTTACGCGTGCTGTTCCAATCCATCTACGCGGGTGTAACTGTGGGACACTGCTATCTGCTAGTATATTATGTATTAAAACCTTCAATGTTAAAGACGCAACTGAAGACACCATCTTGATCGGTTCTGTAGTTTTTGAGATAATCGTGGACAAACATACATAGAAATATACAGGTCAAAATGAAGACAACCTTTTTTGAAGTCTTTAAAAATATAGCTATGTGCGGATTGTGATGACTTAGGTAGGTAAAGTAATCGCGGGACCTACTCTCTTACTCCGAAACGAACTTTCGATAACGAATTTCAAACGAAATTTCATCATCAATATGAGGTTATATTTAATTTTCACAATAAACTATCAAATTAAATTTTTCATTAAACTGGCTTAGAGGATCTAAATCTCAATCTATTTCCAGGCGAACGTATAGTATAAATGTTGTATTATGAATGCGAATAAGGCAATTTTTTTCTTAGATGAATAAGAAAATCACTTTAAGGATTACATTTATTATATTAAGACGCTCATAATATGTATAAGGAACTTTACCTCATCTAACTAAATATATTTACTGAAAATAGTTAAGTTTAAGGCATAACCTTTATTGAATATGAAGCCTTATACTTTGCTCATTATCGTGTATTATTTGTTTTTGGGAATCAGTTAGTAAGTAACGAATATTCGATATTGCGTAATTTTTCTTCTTGTTAACAAGTTAACATACAATATTTAGCGATACTAAGGTTAAACGTCATACCTAGTTAATGTTAAATTGTACGTAAAATGAGCTCTAGGCGTTAAGCTCCACTTTTTTTAGCATAAGGGCCTAGTTGCTGAAGGGTTACCTAGTACAAAGGTCAAGTGCCCCTTAAGCTTCAAACGGCCTAACTTTTACTTCATGAGTATATAAGGTACAAAGACTAAGCTTCAAGCAGTGAGCTTGTGCATTGGTAACCACCAATGGCACCAGTAGAAACGTTTCTCTGCGTACACGGCAGGCGCCAGTGCTCATTCACACACGCGCAATAGGCTATTATTTGACAGTATGACATATAAAGTACTAATTATTGGCATATAACATGAATATTAGGATCAATTTTACTATGTGACTGACCTGACCAAAAAGTAGTTGATAATATTATTAAAACTCATGAAATAGATTTTTTTATATTTTGTCACATGACCGAAAACGCCTCGGATTGGCGGAGCCTAAAATGACGTCACCTGCTTTTTGATGTTTTAATGAGAGCCGTGTGACGTCACCTGCCTGTAAGACGAGATATTTGCTAGAGAAGAGTTTCCACGGCATATTTAAAACATAATTTCATTCGTTCGTTTTGCAACTGATGTACGCAACAGAAACATATAGGTATATCGATTTTTATTGAGTCACTATACGCGAACAAATAACGTATGAACGTTTTCAAAAACTACTCAAATATTTTAGGCAGCTTTGTCTTTGTGGCTTCTTCACTCATGTCGTTTAACTACATAACGAGACAAGTTGTCAATAATAATTATGTAGGTACACCCTAATGCCTTAGGTCTGAAAATACAGGCTGCTATTGCATTTTCATTTTTCAAACGAATTTAAAAAGGAGTAGGTACCACGTCAAATCATTTTTTGTAAGGAGTGATTTTCTTTTTTTTAATAACTACTTCAAGCTATATTACATATTTTAACGACATTGGTGTTCCTTCAAGAAAGATAAATTGAATTCGTAGAAGGAATGGACCTATATATTTTAAAAAGGCAATAGTCCTTAGAATGCGATCTCTGGCTGGAATATTCAAGTAGCTGCTACAATTAGGGACAAAAGAAAAATACAGTTCACTTTTTGTCACAATCAGTAGAACGGTCGATTTTGGCTACCATTATAATAATACCTGACAGAAGAAAATAAAATAAGAAAAAATAAATTAAGCAAGAAATACCTGACAAAGGAGACTGGGTTTTGTATAGGAGTTCGTACAAGAACCAGTACCGACACCGTTGTGATTTCTGTAGGGTACCTCAACAATACTTAAACACAAAGGGGCATCAAAATCTGACCAGGCAGAATTACCTAGTGTCCGATTTTTTCACACTTCGTGAGCCCGAAGCCGACTGGAGGATACTAATTTAAAAGTTTTCCCAAGTACACAGGATGTCTAAATAAGGTCACCTATGGCATTTTAGCTACTAAAAAAAAATTTCAAACTTATGACTTTAATATTTTTAAATTAATAATAGAATCTACCAAAATCAATTAATTCTGTTTATTACAAATGTATTATTGATAACGTAGACAAGTTCAGATTGATAGAAAGTCAATAAAAATAATTTTAAATTCAAGATATTCTATCTACCACTAATCTCTCTCTAATTCTGCCGCCAATAGTCATATTTGCCCTCAACCTTGGGCAAATGTAGCTTACATTCTGTATGTCTTTGTTATTGTATTTATAATTCTCAAATTAACAGTAAACGTCAGATTCAACCAAATCTAACTAATGTTGTGCTTAATGCTCTTCATTAGAGTTCAATTTGCTTTAAAATTACATATAGCATAATTGGGGAGTAATGTATGATTTTTCCATTTACATTAGTGAGACATGAAGTTCGATGTGTGTATGAATATATTGAAGAGCGGTGCATCCTAACACAAGCAATTTTACTGCTTAAAAGGATGTACCATACTCATATATTGTAGTAGGCTAAGTTATTGAAATAAACTAATTTTGTATTTTGTATTGACTTTTGCAATATTTGAGTAGACACCTTAGCTTTACTAGTGTTTTTTATTACCATATAACAACACAGCTATAATACCCCACTCACAATGTATGAAGGGGCAAAAGTAACAGTCTCATAAAACTTGACTTTACTGGAGTATAGAAGAAAACATATTAATTAAATATGACTAACCGTTAATAATTTCACGGCACACTGTAAAACAACAATAAAAACAACAATGCAATAACGTGAAAAAAAAAATTGATTGCAATATTTTTGACGGCGGTATATACTTGTGAAAAAATGGCGGAATAATATACGACTCTATAACTAAACCAGTTTATGTGCTAACAGCGAAATCTATTTAAATATAGGTTAAAAAAGATTACCCTACAGAGCCACAAATGTAACATAATTTAACAAAGAAACAGTAACGAGATATTTCAAACAACTACATTTACCCCCTAGCTACAATTACCCCGGGTGAATTTAGTTAGTTTTGATCACTCATTCTCTAATGGAGCTATCCATTTTGAATTGCTTCCACTTTAACAGTCAGACCGCGCTCACTACTAGCCTTTGAACTTCTTAATGATTATTATATAACTAGTAGTCGCCTTTTGGCTGATATTTGATTTGTTTAATTTTTAACGATGTTAACGTTCTTTTGTCAAAGTGTAGGTAGCTATTAATTTCTATAATCATTGTGTGTTTAAAACAAATGGTGTGAAATTTTATTTTTAGGGTTCCGTACATAAAACACAAAATAAACGGAACCCTTATATACCTTTTGTTTGTCCGTCTTTCTGTTTGTCTGTCAAAGCCCTTCATCTCGGGAACACGTGGAGGCATCGAGTTGAATTTTAAACAATGTAATCAAATTTACCTACGGTCCCTTGAAGCTGTGAAAAATCAAAATTCTAAGTTAACATAAAATAGAGATACTGCCGTTTATGTTGCGTACATACAAATAAATACAAATATGTAGTGGGCATGTCCCACAAACACATCCGTTTTTTTATAAAGTTAATGTATTTCAAATGCATTATTGTGTTAATATATGACCTTTCCACAATCCTTCTCCTTTTAATCTAAGCAAAGCACTCCTTCTAAGTTAAAGTTTAAAAAGTGGTCACTATTATACTTCATACCAATAATTGAAACCCCGAATCACTATATCTCTAAAGAAAATTATTTCTAATATGTGTAGCCCGAAAGCACGCTATCCCTAATAACTTTGAGGCGAGCTAAACTGTACTTCTAGGGCCCAAGTGGTGATACTTCACACTAGGTTAGGTTAAGATAGTGTTGTGACCATAACGTGCGAGCCGAGCGAGCGAAGCGAGCGTGCCGCGGCAGCGGCCGGCGAAGCGCCAGAAAAATAATACCAATTCTAAAGTTATTAGGGATAGCGTGCATTCGGGATCGAAATATTAGGTATACAGTGTTATAGGTCTAAAGTTAAGGGATAGCGTGAATTCGGGCTACAAATATTAGGAATAATGTTCTTTAGAGATATAATGATTCGGGGTTTCAATTATCGGTATTAAATACAACAGTCAAAAGTGGTACCTACCTACAAAATTTTTTCTTCGTTTGTTTTTCAGGAATCAAGAGTAGCGATTAGGGTAAGCGCGTACAATAACACGTTATCGTAAAAGCCGGCCACGAAGCTTTCGCCAAGTCTTTCGTGCAAAGTTATCATAATATTACCGACAGACATCTTTAGACTTTCCTTGAAAGGTTTTATTGCACATGTTCCTTATTAGAGCAGCGCCGTCTAAAGGACCCGAAGTGTTGTTCGTTTGTTCAAGAGTAGCGTTGAGGGCCAGAGCGTACAATAGCACGGCATCGTATAACGCGGCCACGAAACTTTTGCCAAGTCTTTTGTGAAAATTTACCGTAATATCAACGATAGTTATACATCTTTAGACTGACCTTGAAAGTCCTATTGCACGTGTTCCTTATTAGAGCTTCATTGTCCAAAGGTCCTGAAGTATTATTCGTTTGTTCAAGAGTAGCATCGAGGACCAGAGCGTACAATAGCACGGTTTCTTAGAAGGCGGGCACGAAGTTTTTGCCAAATATTTCGTGAAAATTTACCGTTATATCAACAACATACATCTTTAGACTAACCTTGAAAAGTCCTATTCCACATGTTCCTTATTAGAGCAGCGCCGTCTAGAGGACCAGAAGTGTTGTTCGATTGTTCAAGAGTAGCGTTGAGGGCCAGGGCGTACAATAGCACGGCATCGTAAAAGGCAGCCACGAAGGTCGAAACCACTTCGCCCTTCTCGAAAGTGTAATTGTATTTCCTCGCTGCAAGATCCTTTACCTGTTGAAATAGAAGAGGTGTCAGATCTTTTGGTCTTTTATTTTTTATTTGGAAAATATCACGATTATTATGAGATATTAGAATTATGATGTAGTTTTGGTATTCTAATGAAGAAATATACAAGTATGGTATTCCTAAGTAGTGGTATTGTGTTATGTATTTTTTTTAATATATTGAACAAAATATAAGTCAGGGACTAAGATAAATAAATTTCAGGCATGGCACAACAAAATCCGAATACTGAGTTACTTAAATCGTATTCTGGACAATTAATAATGAATGGGGCATATTCAGCTAACTGCAAAATGTCGTTTATTTAAATACATCTTTAATTCGGTTATTGAAGTACGATAAACACGATGTCCCGGGAATAATAGAGTAAATCTATTGTATATTGTTTGTATGCCTGCAATTGGTAAGAAAGTTATAGTATACAAAGCGCTAACATTAACTTTATTTTAAAATTGAAGCGCTGGACTATATTCAGGATATGACAGTAAAGATAAAAAAAACTATCACCCTTTTATATTTGTAATAATCATAAAATCATACCGCTTCGCACAAATATACATGATATTTAACATGAAAATACTAATTACAGCAAAAGGGGAATCATAACAGAAAACGTTCGGAATGTAATTATGTTATAATGCTAAAATTATACTTGTAAATGCTAAATTTATTACCATTTATTTGTTAGCAAAGTATCGTCTTACATTAAAATAACTAAACGGGTGGGTTCGCAAGTTACAGGCATGAATTGGGAGCATTTATTTTATTATTTCAAAGGGGCGGCATAATATTATAGGTCGCATGGGAAACGGCTATTTAAGGACCCTTGCGACACCTGAAGGTAATATCGCTCACCGTGATTCTCACAGTCCCATTCATATATAATTAATGAAGCACCCATAATGCGGCTCTAAATTAGGCAGGTAGGTAGGTACTTCTATTCATATACTCTGTTACATTAAACTCCTTTAGAAGATTGTGTTCAACATGAGCTGGATACGAAAAATAATAAGAAATGGTCAAACAGAAATATTGCTATTTTATTTTATGTAGTTTCAGTTTCTATAACTTCGCTATGTACCATAATATATTGTATTACTTTTATGTTGTATTTGATTGATCAATTATCATCAAGTATTGGCTAAGACGCATCAGAAAGATTCGCAATTTCGGTACAGGGTCGTTAAACCCATGAAAGTTTTTTTTTTATATGGTATGAGTGACAACAACTGCTCTCGTTCATTATGTTGGAGCATATAATGGGCAAACGACACATTGTTAGAAGGAAGAATTCTTAGCTGCGGTACATTCGGGAGTTGATGAACATTACTAGTGTTAAATAACTTTTTTTACTTGGCATGCGACAGTTTGAAATTTTCTAACCTAACGCTCAATAAAAGAGAGCTACGTAAAGAAGAATAGGAGATTAGCTTACAATAAAGGTGAGGTGCAATATATGAAGCGAGACGTTTATATACTACATCATTTTAACTTCACAACTGGAAAATTTTGCGAGGAATAATTCCACACGGGCTAGCTTTCAGACCAGTCAAAAAATCTTTAGATTTCAACATTCAGCAGCTAAATTATTAAAAAAATATAATATAATAATTCATGACTGGACGCAAATCACATTAACATTATAAGTGGATTATTTTGATAAGCTATGTTTATATAAAATTTCTTAAAAGCTCAAAACAAACGAATATCTCTCACGATTTTTCAAGATATGATATCTTGTATACTTAAATTAATTAATTAAAAAAAAAACTTACTTGATCGGAGAACTCCAAATATTCTTTTTTCTCGGGTGCCGGGCTTGTGACAGTGAGTACGGCACTGTACGCTCGCCTCGCTCGCTCATTTCGCTCGTCTGTGTCATTTGCTACTTTCCAAGGTTCCTTGGAGGACGCTGACGCTAAGCTGTGAAAGAGTATTTAATTGAAATTTCAAGTTTATCTGAAGGGTGTATGTGATGAGATAGACACTTAATCTGTTTGGCTCTCTATTAAATTGAAATAAACTTATATTATAAATAGCAACATTTAATTATCTTGAACCAGATTTCAATCCATGATCTAATCGTTAGGCTCGCAATAAGCACATTTTTAAGTGAAAACTTCTTTAGGCGCATTGGACATTTTTCAAGATGGAAAATAAACCTCTCCGTATCAGAAGGTCAATTTAGTGAAAAGACTTTGTGTGATATTCGACTTAAAAGTTGAATGACCTACTACTAGTAAAACGTTTGAAATTTAAAATAGTCATACTAGAAGAACGTCTGAAATGTATATACGACATGTTGGCTAAAAGGACTGGTGCACGGACGCAAAAATTAAACAAAGATAAAAAATGTAAATTATTTTCTTTTAAGTTTTTTTATGATATATAACAAATAAAAGCCTTTTTCATGGGTTCACATTAAAATGCGTTAATTTATCATAACATTTCTTCAGATAGTTAAGTTATCATCCCTGAAATAAAGCGTATCAAGTACGAAACACGTTTTTAAAAATTAAAGGCACATATTTAATTTTCTTCAAATTTTATACTTCCCTTTTGGTTTACTTTTCTTCAAGCTCGATACAATTGATCTATTTTGAATATTTTCTTAACTTGAGTCTGAATAAAGAAAACAAGAGAGTTTTCATCTGGGTCTGGATATTAGTGGAATGTGGAGTACTTACTTCATATACTCATTTAAACGTACGTACTTACATTCATACACCTATAAAATAAATGATTTTATATTTTCTGCACTTGAATGAAAATTATAGCACAGGTGAGTCATTTGCCCAACATACCCTTTTTACATTTCAGACGTTCTACTAGTGTGACGATTTTAATTTTCAGAAGTTTTACTAGTAGATCATATTACTTCAACGTCATTTATCCCTCTAGAGGGCATTTTACTTCAGTGTCCTTCCGATACCGGGGGAAAAACCAACCAACTTAAAACAACGTGATTGCGTGATCGACACCGACGACATCTCTGTTTAATATAAATACATATTATTGCAAGTATTTTAATTTTGTGTATTTTAACGACCTCCGTGGCCGAGTGGTTTGTACGCCGGGTTTCATGGTGTCCGCCGACTCGAGAGGTCCCGAGTTCGAATCCTAGTGGGGGCAGATGTTTGTGTGATGAATACGAACATTTTTGGAGTACAAATGCTCGTAGTCATGGATGTTTAATATGTATTCTTATATAAATATACTTATATATGTACAGTATATGTATTCTATCCGTTAACCCTAGTATCCCATAACACAAACCTACAGTGCTTACTTTGGGGCTATGCTAATTGGTGTGTTCAAAAAAAACAATAAACGATCCTTTAAATGCAATAAGTATTGAGTTCAGAAATGAAAAGCATGTAATTTTTATTTTTTTTTTGTTTACATATTGCTGTTTTTTTTTTTTGTGAAATAGTCATTAGGTGCGTAGAGCGCTTCCCTAGATGAGTTTTTTTTGTTTATTTTTGGTTACATTTTGCTTATTTTTTCTGAGATTTGAGTTCATTTCTGTCAGCACTCGCGGATAAAAAAATATGCTGGCTTTGTTTACAAAGTAAATTAATATTTACAAATAATTGTACTTCTAATTATTGGGTAATTAATTCATAGATTTAAAATCGTTGCTATTTATGTGGTCCTAGATTTTTTTCTAGTCGGCTCAATATAGGAGCGAACTTATCTATTTTATCTGACACCTTCGCTGGTTTTGGACTGTAGGATTCCGAACCTAAATGGTAAATAATACAATCTTATTATTAAGCTAACACTGACCATCCTTCCTTCCGTCTGTCTAGAAGCTATATCTTAGGAACTGTTTTTTCTATTCATCATCATCATCATCAGCCTATTAATGTCCCCACTGCTGGGGCACAGACCTTCCCTATGGATGGAATAGGGAGATTGGGCCATGACCCACCACGCGGGCCTAGTGCGGATTGGTGGGTGCTAACGACTGCAGATGCAGCCGGGACCAACGGCTTAACGTGCCTTCCGAAGCACGGTAGTAGATAGGTAGAACACTCGAGATAGTAAATTTTTGGTCACCCATCCAATGACCGACCACTGCGAAAGTTGATTAACTTCAACGATTGCAGCTGAACTCACTAACCACTTGCGCCATCGAGCTCCTCTTATCTAATTCATATATCTATATTATACCCTCCTATCTTTTGTTACTATAGTAATAATTTTTTCTATAACTATAACAAAAATAATAAAAAAATATAGCTAAAAATCCAAGAGATATTTTCAAATTAAATTATTGTCTTGTATGGTGGCACAGGAATTGCATATTTCTGCTCTCACTTGGCCTATTTTTAAACAATTTACCTTACGGGATCCGAGTATATAATATCGTCCAATTTACTCAAAAAAGGTTCTGCTATTTCTCCCTATTTTGTCCCATGAAATTCATAAACAAATTTATGACCATAGTACGTGTTTCACTATTCCATATTGACACGGCGAAGGCGATTGGATACCTCATATATATGGTTACGTCCCCTACAATACCCAACAAACAAGATTGTACCCGAGCCGTCTTTATGGGAGCTATAGAAACTCGATAGGTATTGTGTGAAGGCATATTTTACCGTGTCGGAATGTACTCGAGACTTCGGGATATTCAAATTTCACGTAACCTATTTTAGCTATTGGAAGCAATGCCACAATCAAATGGCTGCTATTCACCTCAAAATGATATTATCTGGTGAAACGAGGTTAGTGATTCATCATCCTGAATTGGTTGTTGTTTCGGAGAACTGGATACCTTAATTACATGCAATGTTACTATTTAGTAAGTAATTGTCTAAAATATGAAAAGCCATGGTTCATGTTCTCGTTTCAGACTCCAAAAGTTTGAAACAAGAAAAGTCATGGACATGGACTGGGTAACGTTTTTTGGAATTCTTGAATAATTATCGTTACAAAAGTTTTTCGGAAGAAAATTCTTTCAATATGTTTTTGAATTTTCTGTACGTTTTTATTGGCAGAAACTTATTTAAATATTCTAAAATGCAAACTGAGAATCTGTAATGATTTTAGTTGAGAATGCAGTATTATAAAGCTAAGGATTCCATAGCAAAATTTTTGTTCTACGATAAATATTGACGAAGTTTAAAAGCGTAAAAGCGGGACAAAACCAAACACGTAATAAATTATTGACTCGGTACGCTCGAAAAAAGATTAAATCTAAAACTGTCAAAATGTATTCTAAAATAGGGGAATACTGTGTTATTAGGACAATTTTTATTTAGCAGCCGAATATATCTCATGTGCAAGGCAAAATTGAAAAAAGAGTTTTATTTAAATGCTTGAATTGTTATTCGACAGCATAAAAGCGGATTATTTTATACAGCGGGTACTAAGTTATTTCTTAAATCTAATAAATTAATTCATTCTTCATAATATGAAAGTGTCTATCTCTGTCTACCTGTCTGTCAACAAGCTGTATCTCATGAACCGTGATAGCTTGAAATTTTCACAGATGGTGTATTTCTGTTGTCTTTAAAAACAGAATCATAAAAAATTTAAGTGTTAAAATAAATACCTAATAAATCCTATAAGCGCAACAAATGTGATTATTGCCGTTCAATTAAAGAGGCGCTTCTCTACAACAGGCGTGATTTTTTTACTCGATGTTATATTTTAGTGTCTAGTGTTGTATAGATACGGTTGTACGGGACCTTTCGTGAGCGAGTCTGAGTCGCACTTGGCCGCTTTTTACCGGTTTACGTCAGTAAAACCTCCCGGGATCAAAATAACCCAATTCAATATAAGAACCACGTGATTATTTTCATGATGATCTCTATTTGATACTTCGCCCGCAAATCTAAGTACATTATTCGTATTTAGTTTAATGTGGCGTGAGATTTTGAAACGGCAGTTTAATGCCGAATTCCCTATTCTCCTAAAACTGTCGCTTAGGCACCCCAAAACCAGTGAATAAAGTGTAATGGAAGCTATTCTCCCGTCTAATTCAGAGTGTCCGGTTGGTATGCACGCTTTATTCCTTAAGGCCACAAACCTTTCTTAATTAAAGCAGGAGAGTCACGTTTTGTATCGAGATAGATATATATAATGACTTAAAGTTTCCCTTGCTGTAAAAAAAACAAATAAATGGTATCAGCTTTTCATTTCACTTAAATCTAATATAAAGCATATCAATACTCATCAATTTGATTTGTGACGTACCTGTAGCTTCTGTTACAGAACAAGCTCATACAATCATAAGAATATTGAGCAATTATATATTAATGAAATGATAACATTTCATTAATATATAATTTTACGTGACAGACTTTGCCACTAACCCTTCGAGATCTGTGACCTACATACATTGTGTCTACTTGGTATTTCATATAGTCTAATATCAGGTCTGTTGATATTGGACTATCTGATTTATTAGTCTGTCTAGGATCCGATTTGATATAATAAATAATTTGAGGGTCAAATTTCAGTTTTTCTTCAAAGAAAAGTTCAAACAATCATACATTTTATCAGAAAAAGCTGTACCAGGTATCCATGTTTTTGATATCCTTATAAGGCTTTCTCAAACACGTCATTATCAGTTAATAATATCGGATACGTTATGCGTTTTTTTTTGGAAATTATGTATGAGAACGGTTACGAAGTCACACAATGCTGCGATAATAGGGACGCAATAAAATTATGACGGAACATCGCAATACCGCATCCGAGGCTCCGATCCGGCAGGCTTGAGATCATGACTGATCATGGCGAGGGTCGAGTCTTAGAGACGCCCTCTAGTTGAGCCGACGCCCTCAGGTTTGAGTGATCTAGAGGCTTAAGACGGAGAGGTGACTCACCCCGTGGGGTAATGCCACCCGCCTGGTATACCTCTAGAGGCACTCGCCAATTTTCGGCTTGAGGTCACCTTAGGATCTCGCCGTCCCCAAACCCGGTGACGCTGTAAAGGTCATATGCGACCAACAGCATACACACTCAAAAAAAGCACCATCGCACAACAAGTACGTGTAGGAATAGTAGTACAGTCAATCTGTAGGTTGAGTGGTGAAAAAAAAACCTTGTTTTTTCTGTTGCCAAATGTTGCATGTTCAACTCGTAGGCGTTTTTTGAAAAACTCAAAAAAACCCTCAAAAAATTTTTGAAACGCTTTTTTCTTGTTTTGTAGGCATTTTAGAAACTTTTTTTTCGACCATAGTTGTAGAGGGCGTTGAGTATTACAATTTATGTCATTGTTGCAATCTCGTACAACAAAAATGCGCATTGTAAGTGGCGCTAAAGTCTCAAAAAAATTGTTTTTTCACTATTTCACCCTGATAATATCACTTTAATGGAAAACTTTAAATGGAAAAATTGTTCCGTACATAATTACCAACAACTTTTACATAAACATTTTTTTTGTATTACTTACCGTTTTCAAGTTATAAATTGCGAAGGTATGAAAAATCCAATAGAGCGGTTTTGGGCAGTTCAAGTACACATTTGCAGTGCAAATTTCAATGTACGTTTTACTATTTTTTATTTTTTTTTCATGATTGTAATAATTTACTAATGTACTTTGTGAATAGAGCAGATGGCCGAATTGGCCCACTGTGTTGGCACTCACTGTGTTGTATACGTAGCGCTGTATTGCACTGTAACTTGAAAACTGTAAGTAATTTAAAAAAATTGTTTATACAAAAGTTGTTGGTAATTATGTACGGAACAATTTTTCCATTTAAAGTTTTCCATTAAAGTGATATTATCAGGGTGAAATAGTGAAAAAACAATTTTTTTGAGACTTTAGCGCCACTTACAATGCGCATTTTTGTTGTACGAGATTGCAACAATGACATAAATTGTAGTACTCAACAATTATGGTTGAAAAAAAAGTTTCTAAAATGTATACAAAACAAGAAAAATGCGTTTCAAAAATATTTTGAGGGTTTTTTTGAGTTTTTCAAAAAACGTCTACGAGTTGAACATGCCCATCGCCGAGGTGGCTTACTGACGTTATTTGGCAACAGAAAAAACAAGACTTACCCTTTAGGTTTTTTTTTCACTGAAGCGATTTTTTTTTCGACAGATTGACTGTACTAATAGTGGCTACAGTAAGTAGGTGACAACGCGTGGTCCTCTAAAGGAAAAGGGAAGGTGGGATTAGGGAGAATAACTCTCTAGAACACTCGCCGTGGTATAGTTGGTAGTATACGCTTAATATCTACCACATCGCGGTGCAATTGAAGTGACTCGAGGTGGTTCACTACCTCTACAATCCTCTTAGTAAAATACTATGAAATTTAAATTTACTAAAGTGGATGATGGACCACGATGCAATTCCTATGTTACTGCCGCATAAAGATTTTATCCGAAAATATAATCCTTCTAATATTATAAATGTGAAAATTTGTATAAATAAAGACTACTGAACTGATTTGGATGAAATTTGGTACGCATATAGTTTATGACCTGGATTGAGACATAGGATGCTTTTAATCCCGGAAAATGTTAGGTTTCTGTAGGATTTTCATAAAACTAAAGTTAACGCGGACGAAGTCGTGGGCAGCCGTAAGTATATCATGAGTTAAGCAAGATTATGCAAAAATAACTCGACCCAAAAGAAAATGTTATCCAAATTTATCATGCAAAAAGGCTAATTTTATTCTTGTCAACTCGAAATTAAATTATATATCAGAATATCTCATCAACTTCGTGAAAATATGTAAATGGTAAGAATTCCTTTTTTATATTTGAAACTTTTATCAAAATTTTATGACACGAATTAATTTCTCTGCTTATGAATGTTTAAGCATTTCTTAATATTAATATTTTTCGTGACATGGTATTATATCGTCTGTCGTCATTAATCATATAAGTAACACATAATTTCATTTTTAACCTCAGACAAGCATCGACACACAAAACATGGTTTATATGAAATATGTACTTGTAGCTACTCTTAGAGCGCGTTCGGATGACACGCGCCCGCTAAGCGCACGCCACGCGCGGTAGCACCCGCGTCTAATTCGCTTTGAAATTTGTTATATATAATATGAGCTTTATAACACATCAATCAATCTCAAATTCCATGTATCGAAGTCAACCCGCAACAACCCGCCGGAGGGGATAGCTGCGCATGGGTACGACTGGAGAGCCAATTGGCGCAACGCACGCCCGCCCGCGCACCTCGTTTCCTCCCAAGACGTCTTAATTTTTACTTCTGTACAATAACGGACAGCGTTAGTTTCCTGCCCCAGCTTAAACTTGTCGTCTTATGAACGAAGTAGTCCAGTCTCTAGTAGTATAAGTAGTATAAACAATTTTGTACGTGGGTGAAAGGCGGGTTCTCGATGGAAATGAACGAAATTCAGTCAAAAATGGCGGCAACTGGTGGCCCTTACTTAGCCACTAGTGGCTGCGACTGGTGGTTTCATCTAGTGGCTTGACTGCGCCACCAGTAGTCGCGTCTAATAGCCGCGACTGGTGGCTCGCCATCGTCTATTCTGTAGTTTACATGTTCGTGCATCAATGCCTCGTTATAATCCAAGTAAAGCGAGTTAACAAAACAAAGAATAAAGCAACACAGCTTGATTTTTGATTCATTGAAAGCTTGATGTTGATTGTTTACCCATATACATACTTTGTGTCTCTTGTTACTACGTGCTAAGAAGAAACATTAAAGAGGACTCACTTGGAAAATAGTTCTATGTTGAAGAAGACGTACTCCCCAGAAGATACCATGTTGAGCTCATCTGCGGCCAGCATTATCTCCCGGACGGTGTTTGGGTTAGCACAAACCACGACAACTGTAACAAACAAATAACATAAAGTGGTAAAGTGCTACATGTTCTCGCACACGAAGGGTGTCTGTTAAAGATTTAACTCTCAAAGCCTCAAAACCTCTATTTGTGATTGTAATGATACGGAAGTGAAATAAGTACACATTCGCATTTATAATCTATTTATTTATTAATATAATCCTTATTTTGAAGATAGTGGATTTTACACTCAACTTGGAGACCCTGTCTGATGGAATAAACCTCCACAATTTGAAAAACCTCCACAGTTAAAAAACCTCCTTACAAAAAATCATACCAATGTAAAAAAGCACTTTGGTAATGTTGTGTTGGTATACCATCACACCGTGTAATGGATTAGGTTCAAACCGTCAAGGTGAAGAAGTGGTTTCTGCGGGGTAAATTATTGAAATCTCACGAATATTGCCCCAATCTGCCAACTTATATTTCCATAAGAAGCTCGACCCCAGGGAGTCAGCAGCGCGGGTTCGCAACCAAACCTGATGGTGAATGTTTTACATAATGTTGGTGTTGGTTCCCAAAATTTGGATATTTAAAGAAGTTTAAACCAAAAATATGTAATAAACAAAGAAAACAAAGACAGGTGCTAAATACAATAACACAAGTAAGAGAGATGTGATTCAAACAAGCGTAATCATTATTATTTACTTTCCGTCACCTGTAATAGATCGTCCATCCGCTTGGAAAAAGCAGCTTCTTTCATTTCGTGGTCGACACTCCAAAACTTTTTTCGCTCAAAGGTCATCTGTCATCTTTCATCACGCCAAGTGCTGAGTGTCGCCATGCGCAATGTAGGACCTACTCGTAAGTACTATTTCAACTAAATACCATCTGGCCGTTTTAGCTTGTGAGTGGAGGCCCCATAACGCACTCCAATGCGTTATTAGAACGTTGAATATACCTACTTCCTACTAATTATATGGGAAAGTGTACAGCTTTGTAACTCAATCATGCAAAAACGGCGGAACAGGTTTAAAATAAATTTGGTATACTCTACTATTTATTACCTACCTGTATATACTCGTAGACATGATACTTTATATCCTGGAAAAAGTTAAGGTTCCTGAAGGTTTCTCAAAAATCTAAAGCAAACGAAGTTGCAGGCGGTCACTAGTTATTATCTATATATCTATACATATAAATTAAATTGGAGTGTCTGTTTGTAATATTGAAATAACCGCTTTTTACTACATGCATATGTATACACCAAAATAACATTTTTTACAATATTTGTCTGTTTGTTCCGGCTAATCTCTGAAACGACTAAACCGATTTTTACGGGACTTTTATTGGCAGGTAGCTGATGTAATAAGGAGTTAAGTTACTTTTATTTTAGAAAAAAAGAAAAATCTAAAAGTTGACGCGGACGAAGTTGCGGGCGGCCGCTAGTCCGTATATATAAAAGGCAATCATTACTGACTGTCTGATCTATCAAAGCACAGTTCAAACCACTGAAGTAATTTCGCTGAAATTTAGCACACCTATAGCTATTATGATGTAGGCGTGCTCTAAGAAAGGATTTTCCAAAACTGAGATGAGTTTTGGAAAATCCTTTCATAGAGCACGCTATTGCGATTGCGATACGATTTTTAGCGATTGCTAAAGCAGTAACATTTTACTTTCAAATTTTGTATTGAAAACCAATATTTCCATGCAGACGAAGTCGCAGGCACCCACGAGTTATTGCAAATTAGGCAAATAAAAAATGCCCCACCGGATACTGCAAGTGTTTTTAATAAATTATCAGTACAATTGCATGGCACGAGATTCTTCCTTCAAAATTAAATTTTGTGTTTTTTTTTCTATAAAAGTGGGCCCTACTCGGCATCCGTCTAGAACAGTTTTACAAAATTAGATACTACTGTAGTCAATGGACCGCATTAGTGGCAATGCTCTCTGATTCTGTTTGATTTTTGGCATTTCGCCCACAGCCTCGAAAATTTAAGTGCATAACAAATTCTATTTATCTATAATTTATTGACGTCAATTTAAACATGTCAAAACAATATCATCATCATCATCAGCCTATTCATGTCCCCACTGTTGGGGCATGGGCTTTCCCAATGGAATAGGGAGTTTGGGCCATGACCCACCACGCGGGCCAAGTGTGCAATGGTGCGTGCTAACGACTGCAGATGCAGCGGAGACCTACGGCTTAACGTGCCTTCCGAAGCGGGAAGAAGTTCGAGGTAGTAAATTTTTGGTCAATCATCCAATAACCGACTACTGCAAAAGTTCCTTAACTTCAACGATCGCAGCCGAACACGCTAACCACTTGCGCCATAGAAACAATACCATACTACCTACTATTTACATAGTGCAAAGTATACCTAGATCAGTAAATCTTAATTTCGCATTAAACTAAAATATATTTTTATTTATATTGATTTTTAAGGCAGGCCATTACGAAAGTGTCCTAACTTCCACGATCGTAGACCGAACGCGATAACCACTGCGCCATCAAGTACCTCATTAATTTTTATTTATATACACACGGAAAAGTCTTATCCTCCTCAAACTCAATATTTTCATAACGTCTCACAAGCACTGAAAACAGCCCCATTGAAATGGGGAGGGTAATAAATTTGATTCTACGTTTCCTTTTGATTATTGGGTGACAAGGCACGCAGCAAGCCGTTTTCCACTTTATTGACATACTCAGAAGCTTTTCACTCTTTCATTAAGTCTCATTTGACACTGACGTAACGAGGACAAATTGTTTGCATTGGTTGCTGAAAATCTTTGGCGGTGACGAATTTAGTAACGGAAACGATTCGTACAGATTTCACTCTTCAGACTTCAAAAACGAGTTGGTATCAATTATATTCTATAGACTTTAAAAAGGAGTTGGTATCAATTCCATTCTATAGACTTCAGAACAGAGTTGGTATCAATTCGGCCGGTATGTTTTTTACGTGTGTACTCCGATTACACTAAGAATTTTTATCCGAATTTTAGGTGATTCTTTTTTGTCCGATGCGGAATATTTGCTTGTCAGGCCCAGTTTTGTTTTGATTTTATTGAAGCATTTTTGTTATTTGGGACGACGAAATTTTCAAAATACTTTTTTGGGTTTTTGTGTATGTATAGGCGCAATAAAGGAAGTAGGTAGTTCCTGCAGATAATTTGCCGCCCAAAGTAAAGCACAAAAATGCATATTTTGTTCAACTTGAAAATGTTAATTCCAATTCATATCTGAAAGCAAAGAAGATCATGTGGGCATTAATTATTTGCTAAAAGATAAATCTAACCTTATATATAACTAAAATATTTACATTTTAATGGTCTATCTTCTTTGGAAAATCGACGGTTTTGTTTTCTACTTGTATTATGATTGATGATTTAAATTGTCTATTCGTGCTCTCAGACATCGATCGAAGGTTATAAAAACAATATACTTTAGAAATTAGTGCACATAAGCAGTGGATTTACCTCGCCGTAAATTGGCTCGTTTATTTTTATTAAATCAGCTTTATGTTCATACAAAAGACAACAGTTATAGTTTTGAAATATGGTTTTAGTCCAATAGGCAATTCGTGAGCACGTGCTTTTAGAATGTAATAATAACAATGATTACCCAACCAACGTATTACCATATTTGACTTTAACAAAGTATTTGATGTTTCACACCCTCTTATGTTCTGCGAAGTTCCATTCTGCATAAATATTAAAGCACACGTATCAACCTGGAAACACATTGTTGCCAGTTGCCGCCTCGTAGCGCAGTCCGCGAGATTCTCCCGATACAGCGCGACGCCTTTAGTATGCTGATTGATTAGTACCTATGCGGTTTAATCAAAGAATGGGTACTGATGGGCTCGGATTCAATACCTATTATTTGATCACCCTGGAAACACATCGTTGCCGCCTCGTCGCGCAGTGCGTGAGATTAGGAAGCTGATTGATTAGCATGCGGTGTTATCGAAGAATAGGTAGGTACTGAAACGCCCGTAGCGTTACGGCCTCCTTGCTTGTGTAAACTCTTTGCTTATGTAATGCCTACGGCTGGCAGTTATAATAAAAGTAAATGTCATTATTTTAAAGATTTGAATATGACGATCTTTTCGAACATCGAACATTCCAGCAGATAGAATCCAGGCACAGAAAAGAGTGATTGATAAATAAATGTAATTTTCTCCCAGTTAAATTAAACATAGTTGAGCATCCTAAGTATTCTTAATGCAATAATTGCTACGTTCTACTAGCTACGCTTCCAGGCCTATCCCATTCAGGATAAAAGCATTACAATACTGATGGACACGGTTTTTTTTTATTTGGAATAAGAATTTAATTGGATTGAGGCAGTAAAGATACCTTTCCGCGCTGATGTGTGCATTAATTTTAGCAGCCAGTATCAGTTGAGTAAAATTCCAGTAAATGGTAGGCCTACTCGAGCTTTGTTGCTAAATTATATTTATTATTAAAACTTAATAACATCTGTAGCTAAGAAACGGAACCAGATTATGCTTACTTTTCACTGGAGTTTGATTATTGAAACTGACCGAAGGTATGTTAAATTTAATAATAATGTGATCGCATGAAAATAAGTAGTTATGTTATAATGGTGTCATTTACACAAAAAAAGAGCTGTATATTTAATCATCATTAAAGCACTCTTGTCGAAAAAATGCCAGAAATACAGCGTCTGAATTTTTAGTAAAAAACTATACAAAACAATTTAAGCGATAAAACTAAGTACACTTATGCAGTTCAAGTTTGTGGCGGAGACGTGAAAATATACAAATATTAGATTGCGAAACACTCAAACAACACAGATGCGATACGCCATAAAATAATCTATAATTATTATTTTTTACGATCCGTGCTTTACATCACCATTAAAATGTTAACGTTTTTAACACCAGTGATTCTATTAGACGTTTCATTCTCTTAACATATAAATTATTATCCGTCATTTAACGATAATGATATTTCACGGAGAAAACATTAAATCGTTAAGTTCGGATTGCTCCTAAGAATGACGGTCG